CCTAAAGCTTTCATCTGGCAGTGACAATGACTTCTCTTCTCACGTGTCATGGGTCAAAGCAAGTGACGTGGCAATGTCTAAGTACAAGAAGAGCACAGAAGCCCGATGCTCCCACATGCTTGGAGGACGAGAGTTGGGATACTATAAACAGCCCTAAAGAGCAGCACAAATCTTCAGGGAGAAACTAAAGCTACAAAAATTAAATATTCTTATAAGTTCAAGTTCAACTAATTTTGTGTCAAAGGTAATAAAGTCCAAACTTAAATATTCTTGCTCTTTGGAAGTCTAGACCAAAGTTTATACATAATTTCTAATTTTAAATTAATGTTCAATGAAATTAAAGCCCTCTTTTGTTTCTTTGTGTGCTCATTAGAGTCTGGGACTCATTCCTCTCCTTCCATGGCCATAATGGGTTCGTTCATTTATTCATTCATTCATTCATTCATTCATTCACCTGGCAAGTGTTTATTGAGCACCTAGTAACTGTCAAGTCAAGTGTGCACAAAATAGAAAATAATTCTGCTCTTGGAAGCATTTACATTTCAGTGGAGGAGAAACAGCCTGCTTACTTACTGCTTTCTACTGAATTTCTTCTAATGAAAGTGACAAAAGGTTTTATGGAGCTCCCTTCTCAGGAAGAATGAGGTCCACATATTTCTCCCTAATCATTCTAAAGAAGTGATTGGTAAGATTCTCTCTGGTACGTGATTGGACATATCGAAAGCGGTCATGTCCGCCTCCTGGGCTGGGTGGGGCATTTCACGTCTGCGGACATGTGGACTTTTCTGCATTTTGCTGCCATGGCTTGTAGCACATTCCATGGGACGGGTTTCTGACTTTCCCACCAGGCTGGGCAATCAGTGCTCAGAGCTTTGTAAAATCAGTGAATGAGGTTCCAAGCCTGGGTCCCTTGTGTTATGATAGTGCTCATAAATGAACATACAGGGTTGGAGAGGCATTTATTTTTGAGGGAGAAACTGGCAAGTCCAGCTTTTGACCTTGTGAAACGCTGGGCGCACTACATAGTTTTCCTTGTATGGCTGGGTTGAATGGCCGTCTTGCGTGGATTTGCACTGTTGAGGTGTTAGAGAGGTTCTCAGTGCCCTGTGCCCCACATTAACAGTTATACTTTGCATCAGCTTGTGTGTATCTTTGTTGCCCCACCTTTGTGTGTGTGTGTGTGTGTTTGTTTGAAGTAGGCACCATGCCTAATGTGGGGCTTGAACTCATGACCTTAAGATCAAGAGTCACATGCTCTACCTACCGAGTCAACCAGGCATCCCTGTGGCTCTGCCATTTTTAAAAACCAATTTCATTCTTTGAAGATTTTAACCAAACTTCAGTCCTTTCAGTTCCTTCATTTCTCCTCCAACACACAAATGTTAGGACAAATACGATAGCCCCAAGTTGGTGCATGGATATAATTATGCTGTCACTGTGGGGGTGATTCACTCTCTGAATTGTCATCAGAAAGATTAAAAATAAATCCAGGACAAAGGAAGCTTATCTGATACCAACAAAGATAATTTGAACTCCGACTGAAAGAAAATTAGTAAGCATGGTGGATCTAACAGCCCAAAGACCAGTAAGGAGAGTGGACTCACATCTGTCTTCCTCTGAGGTTTGCACTCCTTTACGTGACATTGTTAGTCTGTGATTTCACTAACAAATCACTGTTTACATGCTTGCCCTTAGGATCATCATGTAATTAACATCTCTGAGCAAAAGACATTTTGTCACTTAAATGTATGTATTTCACCATTCAATGGGAACAAACAACCCTACTCTTGATTATTATGGCTTCATATTATGAGCTGAAAATATACATATGTTTGGGCCTTGATTCAGCACCATTATTCGACATACAAATTTAGTTCTCTACAAATGGTTTTGTTGTTATTGTTGTTTAAATATAACTTGTCAGGGTGAAAGAATTTTGGGTCAGGTGGTGGGGAAGACTTATTTTAACTTGCAAATTCCATCTAAATTTCTCTAAGCTCTTTGCCCAGCCATTACTCTGTCTTCCATACCATTCTGACACTCTCTATTAATCCATCAAATCACAGAAGTCTGAGCAAAACCAGACTATTATCTTGTAGAGATAGTTGGGTCAGTTCAGGTCAAAGTTTTATTGGTTTTGGCAGAAGAGCTATTGAAAAAACTTGTAGAATGAGGAATAGTTACAATGTGATCTTTAAAATGGATTTCAAAGATGAAAACAGAACAAAATTGGTGTCTGACTTTCTTGTCCAAAAACTCTGAGTTACATTGGCACAGAGATATATTTCTGGGCTCTTTAAACTATTGGGTAGGAAGTGATACTACCAGCATGGAACCCAATGGGGTGCCCAAATTCACCAACTGTGAGATCATGACCTGAGCCGAGGTCAGATGCCCAACCGACTGAGTCACCCAGGCGCCCTCTGAGATCATTTTTAATATTTCAATACCCCTAGGAAAACAACTGTATTTAAAATGGGCAACCTGTCAGACAAAGCGCTTTGCTGAAGATGCAATCACACAACAAACACCTGCTGACAACAGGATCTGGGAGCGCTCGGGGAAGGAAGCAGGTGGGGCGTGTCTGGAGATGTAAAACTCAGTCCATAGAGCTTGAATGGGGTGTGTATTTTCCTAGGGGGGTTTTGGTGGCATCTTCCATTTCTCTTCCACTTGGGTGAAGCTCTCATGGATGTGGGCTCTAATGGGGAGGAGCACACTTCCCCACTGCCTAGGGCCATTGTCATGCTTGTGTGTAGATATAATGTTGTCATAGGTAGCTGCTTTATCAAGTTTCCAGGTCAATTACGTGTGTCCAGCCAACCTTCCACTTCTGCTCTATAAAGAATTTGGGTCACTTTTGACTCTTCAAGAGTTTGGTCTGAATATTTAGGCTGTCATGCTTGTGGCAGTAATATTTTAGTATTCTTTCTATGGCTTCAGAGCCTGGGGGCTTTACCGACCTTGGTCCATGATTTCTGAGGAAGGGTTTGGCTTAAATAAATATCTCGATACCTGAATCTGGAATTTCACTAATTGACCAGATAGCTGAAGGATAACCCATTTATTCCCTAGAATTATAATCCGAGTTGCTCTTTTTTTAAACTTTATATTTATTTTACTGTTAATTGATATCAACGATAATTTCATCTCTTCTCAGTGGTTTATCATGTTGCCACACACAACAGTTATTTTGACATGCTCCGTATAGTTCTGGGCATACTGACAGATGCTGACTTGGATATGCAAGGCATGTGCCCTCAGTTTAGTGCATGCCTTTTCAGGACTTGCTGTCACGTGGATCGCTTGGTGTTACTTTCAGATCATTTGAATTTTCATCAAGTTGGAGTGAGACTCGTAAGGGCCACTTGGCCAAGGTCATGTACCAGCCTTCCTGCAGACTTAGGGCATCAAAGCCTGAGCCCATCTCTGTCGTCCATTGAGTGTTTTTCTTGCCCTCCTTACACCCTCCTCTTCTTTTTTTTTTTTTCTTAATATTTTTATTTATTTCTAGGAGAGAGAGAGACAGCGTGAGCAGGGGAGGGTCAGAGAGAGAGGGAGACACAGACTCTGAAATAGGCTCCAGGCTCTGAGCTGGCAGTCAGCACAGAGCCCGATGCGGGGCTCGAACCCACGAACCGCGAGATCATGACCCAAGCGAAAGTCGGACGCTTAACCGACTAAGCCACCCAGGTGCCCCACACCCTCCTCTTCTGATCAGCTCAGTCACCTGTGATTCATTGGGACCGCCCACACCTGTATGGTATCTCTGACCCAGATCACATCAGCCTGCATCCACTTCGTCATCCAGGACTCCTTCGTTGTAGAAGCTACAGAAGGATGTTTCTCTCCCCACTGAAGTGATTTGTGCAAGGGACAGGCACGACGTAAGTACACTAACTAAATCACTGGTTCTCAATGAGGAATAAGTTTGCTCCCTCTCCCCGGGGAATATTGGGCAATGTCAACAGATTTCGGTTGCCACAATCGAAGGTAGGGTACCACTGGCGTCTATGGGACAAAGGCCAGTGATACTGCTCAACACCCTACAATGCACAGGGTGGCTCCCCAGCCCCCATGACAACCCCAAATGTCAGTAGTGTGGAGATTGAGAAACCCTCTTCTAAAGAGAAGATATTTTGGCTAACATGACCCAGGCTACAGTCTCTTCCAAGCTTTATGTTTGACTGATAATGAAGAATCCTGACTTCTATTAAAAATTGCATTAAAAATAAAATCCCTAAAAATTACCTGGAAGGTGAGCTCAGTTACTATCTCACTCAAATTGAGGCAACATTATCAGGGTATCCATCTGGCATCTGTGTTAGTTGCCTAAGGCTGCTGTAACAACAGAAATTGCTGTCTTGCAGTTCTGGATGCTGGAAGTACAAATAAAGGTGTCAGGAGTGTGACACCCCCTCTGAAGGCTCTAGGGAAGCATCCTTCCTTGCCTTTCCAGTTTCTCATGGTGGCTGGCAAATCTTGGCATCCTTTGGTTTATAGCTACATCATTTCAATCCCTGCCCTTGGTGACACATGAACTCCCCTATGTGACTGTGTTCTCTAAATCTCTCTCTACTTCTAAGCTCACCAGTCACTGGACCTAGGGCTCACCCTCATCCAGTGTGACCTCATCTTGATTACATCTGCATAGACCCTATCCTCAAACAAGATCTCATATACACAGACCAGAGGTTAGGACTTCAACATATCTTTTTGGGGGACACAATTCAAAGCACCATAGCTGGCAGCCAAGATGTATGAAGACCCATGAGTAGACTCCACAGAAGTTGCCGTCTGTCAGTGTCTGGTGACAGTAATGTTGCTGTGCCAAGTTGCCCACAGCCCCTCTGCCAGCCACCTGCCCATCTCCACCACTCACTTCACCCTCCTGTGTCTTTCCTCTTTCCTGCTTCCTTATTCTCCTATCAATTCTTTTTGTCTCTTTTATCAGCAGTGGCCAATCAAGCCCCCGTTTCCTTTCAGGTGAAGACACTCACCCCATCTGCTGAGCATAATATCGGAGTCATCGGATCTTCCTGGTGGTGTTCAGTGGCTGCCAGTTGCTCAGGAACACCTTCTGAACAGCAAAAGATATTTTCCTCTAAGTGCTTAAATGCCAGGACTCCTCTGGGGGATCTGATGTTTCCAGAAAAGCAGAAATTAGATGGCAAAGCTCTGCTACATTAATAGCGCAGGGAGAGTGCTGTTGGGATTGTTTTCTTTTCAGATGTCACCATTTGGGTGTTTAATTTATTTATGAACAATAGCCTTTGGGGAGCCCTGAAGGTAAAAGATAGTGAGAATTTAGAGGTATCATGTGGACAGCAGGGAGTAGAGTTGCCAATTGAGGAAAAAGAAAAATGCTGAGTCAGAAAACTTTTAGATAGGCAATGCGGTAGAAGTTTATTAGAAGAGGCGTAGGACATGGGATCACCCCCACCCCCGATCAGTGCAGAAGAACCAGAAAACCCTGCCGTGGTCTAACTCTGATATCCCTGGGAGGCTGCTTGAGTAGAGATACAAAATGGCCACCAACCCCAGAGGCAAAGATCAGCGCTTGAGCTGTGTTCCAATGATGGAGCCCAAAGCTTTAGTTGGATGTGTGAAAGGCACTGAGTATATGGAGAAGTCTTTAAACACGTATAAGTCAGGCAGTGAAGAACTGCAGAGTGGTTGGTCACTGATCCCAAGCCTGTGTGGAAGCAGGTAGTTGGAAGGGAAAGATGTGGGCAGATTTTCCTACAGCTTCTCACCAGGTTAGTGTTTTCTGTAATACTTGGGAGTTTCACAACACAGTCCTTTGAGAAGTGGTTCTCTAGGTCCTGATTCTGCCCCTTTAAATATTGGCAGGTCAGTTCTCAACAGGACCGCGGCTGTTATCCGTCTTGTTTAAGACTGTTCCCCCTCCCACACCCCCGCTTCCCATGGCTCCTGGACCATTTCCACTTTATCAGTCCTCAACAAACACATGCTCATTACTACTTTTGGTGTGGTTTTACTAGAGGGGACAAATGGATGTTGCAGGCATACAGCATTTGTAAAATGGGGACAGCAATAGAACTTAGCTCATGTGGTTGCTGTGGATTGACACCTGTAAAGCCCTAGAATAGTGCCTGACTCACAATAGAGCTCAGCAATGTCCCCTCCGCTCAGCAAGCCCCTCTGGTTGTGCTTGCTTAGAGCCCTGGTCCTCTGCTGCCAAAAAGAATTCATGTTTTATTTCCCACCAAGTCTCATGAGCATAATATGTAAGATGTTCAGTGTTGTTTTTTTTTTTTTTGCCCCTCATTTACTTTTCTTAACCTTTTGCAGCTTAGTCATTGCTTCTCTTGTTAGGGAAACTACTAATGAAAGGGGAGAAGAGAGACAGGGAAAGGGTCATGATAATGCATTTTTTAACAATTTGCATTTTCATAGAATTATGTATAAGTATAGCTGGGCTTTCTTTAATATTATTTCAATTTAACTAATCTTGATTCTCAATTCAATTAAATATGTCAATGTTTCATGGTCTCCCATAATTATATCATGACCTTGGACACTCCATCAATCTACTCATTAATTTCATCAGTTATTTTCTGTCCATTGGTCAGTTTCTTCTTCCTCATGGGTTATCATCTGGAAGGACTCCATTATGGACTTAATCTTTGTGTCTCTCTAAAACTCATGTTGAAGCCTTAATCCTTAATAGGATGGTATTTGGAGGTGGGCCTTAGGATATGATTAGGGTTCAATGATGTCATGAAGGTGGGGGCTTCATGAAGGGGTTAGTGCCCTTATAAGTAAAGACACCACAGAAGTCTTTGAGGACATACCAAGAGGGTGGCGTTCTGCAAACCAGTTAGAGGCGCTGCACCAGAACACAGCCATGCTGGCATCTTGATCTCAGGCTTCCAGGCTCCGGAGCCATGAGGAAATACATTTTTGTTATTTAAGAAGCCAGCCTGTGATGTTCTATTATAGTGGCCCAAGCCAACGAAGACTATAATACAGTGCTCTGTTCTTCTCTATATAAAGGGCAGATATGCTCTAACCCAAGCTTCTGGGACACATTGTCCCTGGAAGTTAAGTCTTGAACAGACGGAAAAAATAAAAATAGTTGGAATTCAACTAGTAGAACTAGACACTTCCCATTGTAGTACATCACTACTATTCCTACATTCTTATCTCTTGGAGTTTTCCATCCTACTACCTTTTTTCTGAGCCCAAGTCTGTAATCTCCCCCACTGATATTGGGGGGTCTTGATATTCTTCCAGTAAACTGTTCCCTAACTGTGTTTACAGTAAACAGAGTTAGGTTCTGTTGTTTATGACCTAAGAATATTGATAAATACATCTACCAGTTGTGTCATTTAATGGGTAAGGCCTACAGACTTTATCAGTTTTCCATTTATAATACATTATAATTATATTTTTATGCTTATCTTTGGTTACTAGGCTTCTGAGATGAAGTTGATAATTTAATGACTTTTGACATATTTGAGTCATTGGTTATATTTTGATAGAGTAGTTCAAAAGTATTACTAGCTAAAATTTTATTCATAAAGGAATATTTGAATAAATTATCAAAGTCATCCTTCCCTGCGTTGAATTGCTCATTATATTTGGTGGAAAGGGGCCTAAGGAGTAGCAGGATGGAGAAATGGTAAGTAAGCTTATGAATAGAATAGTATTAATAGGCATTGGATGCTTTTAGCTTTGCTATAGATCATAAAACTAACAATTATTTGCCTAGGAAACTACAAGTTACTTTGTGGTTAGGGAATTCTGAAAGATCTATGGTATTGACTTTCACTGAGACTATGTAATTGGAAAAAATGAGGTGATTTAAGATGAGAATTGATTTACATGAATGTTTATAACAACCTTTCATTTCTATGGAGAAGGGATGTTTATGTATTACTTATATTTTATTTTTCCCAAGTCTAGTGAACATTAAACTTTCACACGATACCAAAAAAAAAAAAAAAAAAAAAAAAAAGATGGTGGCAAATTGGATTTCATATCAGAGTGGTTGATGTTTCAGTCCCATAGATTGGCTGCACCAAGAATTGTAAAGGTGTTTGGAACAAAGTAGCTCTTTATTCAATTAATTAACTCCACAAGTAATTATTGTGTTAGCTCCATTCCTGCAGCTGGGCTGTTGCTAGGCATGCAATCCACAACATGGCCCTTTGCCATCAAAGAGGATAGAGTCTAAAAAAAGACATAAACGTATACAAATAAGAGCAATAAATCACAGATACTGAGACCAAGTTCTGTACCAGAGCAGCAAAGTCCCCGAGAAAGGCCACTGAGTTCTTTAAGTGGAAAGAAGATGGGAGAATGGGAAGTTCAGGAAAGGTTTTAGAGCAAATCTGTCTCTGTGTGTGTATGTGTGTGTGTATGTGTGTGTGTGTATGTATGCATGTAATAATTCCAGGTAGAAACCAGTGTAAGAAGAGGATATCAGGTGAGAAATAGGCAAGGTGGATTGATAAGTGCAAGAAGCTCAGTGAGACTTAAATGTTGGGTATGGGGAGACATGCAAAGAGAATCAAGTCTAGGCAAGCAGTTGGGTCAGTCCTTGGCCAGCCGTGGAGGCATAGCAAGGCATTTGGAATTGGTATGCCAAGTACACAGAAGCCATTAAAGTATTTTAGTGGTAGATTGAAATGATGAGATTTTTGTTTTAGGAGAGTCACTCTGATGGGTGCAAAGGTCCCTGATGAGAAAAGGAGAAACCAGAATCCATAAGACCCACTAGGAGAAGGCTCCAGTGGCTGCTGAGGAAAATGGTGTTAACCTGAGCAAAGGCAATGTGAGTGAAGACAAGAGAGGAGAAGGATGGAAGGGGCATCAATGAGAAACATTGACCTGACTCAATCCCTGATTTCAACTAAGGTTTGCAAATGGTTGTGCAAGAAAGAGAAGAGGTAAGACTGACCACCATGGTTGGGTCCTGGGTAGACAGCCATTCATTCATTAATGTAGAGGAGAAAAAGCAAGACTGTGAATGGAAAGCAGAATAACAACTTCGTGTTACATACATGCACTGAATTTGAGATGCTCGAGGGACATTCACAGAAATGACCAAAAGTAACTGGACAGTGAAGTCAGAAGCCCAGCAGAGGGTCTGGCCTGAGTATGTACTTCTGGCGTTGCCAGAATATAGGTAGAGTTAAAAAGAGATGGCGATGGTGGTCTAGGGGAGGGATGTGAAATGAAGAGATACTTCTGTCTGTGGGAGGGCAGGAAGACAGAAGCTCACGAAGGAGACAGGGAGAAAATGGTTGAGGCGGACACCAGGGGAATGGGTGCCCTGAGACAAAAGAAAGAGGAGCTTCAGCAAAGAAGAAGCAGCTGATGGCACCACACACCACAGAGAAGGTCAAGTGGATTTCCACTGCTATTATGTGTTGTTTAGGAATAAAGATAAGTAAGTTATTATGAGTTGTGTAGGCTGAGGATGCGAATCTTTAAGTCGGTTGCTATAAAGAGGAATCAAACTCTGGGCCCCATCTCTGAGTGTCCAAATGTGCCCTTTCTTGGGGGCACATCCTACCCCCTCTCAAGTACCTGTTCTGCTGCCAGGATGTGATTGAGCACGTGACAGAGACATGCTCTTTCCTGCTCTGTCACAAGATTTTCTCAACCCCAGCAGCACTGACATTTTAGACCAGATACCTCTTTGTTGTGGAAGGATGTCTTGTGGGTTTAGCAACAACCTAGATCTTTGATGGATGTCACTTCTGTCACCCTTCCCCGCAAGTTGTGATAGCAAACAGTTTCTCCAGGCAATACCCAATGTCCCCGAGGGTGTAAAATTGCCCAGTTGAGAGCCTTAACTGCTCTAGATCCGTAGCAAGGAGATCAAGCTGTGCCTTTTGAAATGTTTGTCGGGATATGAGTACAGAACATAGAAATAGATTTTAGATGAAAAGTAACCCAGCCATAAAGTTGTCTCAGAAAAGATGTGTGTGGGGATGGAAGCCAAATAACCAAGCAGTAGAGATCTTGATGGGTTGAGTAAAATAGATATATTCTCTTTTCCAAAGCAATGAACAAATTATCTCTAGAAGGGCAATACAGACTGTAAAAGTCAATAATAAAAAAAGATTGCACATAGTCAAACATAGCACATGCCCTTGTATACTAAGCTCAGGACAGGCAAGAGCTCACGGCAATAACCATTCATTCTGGGCCTGTGGTGAGTGGGATCCATCCATCGCTGTGATAATAGTTGTCATAGATCTTCTGGAGTTGGACCTGTTCAAAGTCACGTAATTTGTTCCCTACCTCACCTCTGCTTATCTTGAAGCAAAAAGTTCAGGTACTCTAAGTGCTTACGGTGGAAGCAATATTTTTTTTTCAGTCCATTTGGCTTGTTTTTCTGCCTTCCAGAGTCTGGGTGGTATTCATGGTTATCAGAAGATTTGTTTTTTCCCTGTTTACGTTAATAAAATGAGGGCATGGATCAACACCTCCCTGAGGATTTTCCTCTCTGAAAGAGTGTGCAGCAGTGACTCACACTTGGGTTCAAAAGTGGTCATAATTCATTGGTTCATTCAGTCAACAGATAATTATCGCATATCTGCCGTGTGTGAGGCCCTGCACTACTCACCGGAGAGACTGGTGACAACTGTAGATGCATGGATTGTCTCCATTTTGTTCAACTTGGGGAGAGAGACAATAAACAAGTCAAATGTAAATAAAAAAAGATAAAATAAATACAACTGTGATCATTACCATATGGGAATTAAATAGGGCAATATGATCATAATTGAGATGGATGAGAACAAAGGTCTGATCTAAGTAAGATGGCCAAGGAAGGTGGAGCTGAGGAGACAGCATTTTGGTCTACTGCCTAAGGATGGGATCCAGCCAAACATTTAAAGAGTTGGAGAAAGGTAAAGAATCTTCCAAGAACAGGAAGGACAACAGTCTATTGAGCAAGACACTGGGGCTCCTGGAAGAGAAGCCTAGAGAGGGGAGCAGGTACTAGATCACAAGAGCCTTTTTGCATTTGAAGTTGATTCTCAGCAGTAAAAGGGAACCAGTAAAGGGTTAAGCCTGAGATGGGAGAAGATCATGTATCTACCATTTTGCCTGCTTTGTGGTAAGGAGTAAGGGTGGAAGCAGAAAGCACAGTGAGTTGATCATTGAGTCAGCCCAATGATAGAGGATGGGGGGATGGCTGACGGTGGTGGGGTAGAGAGAGAAATGTGAACCAATTAGAGATAATGCACTGGGTACATAACAGATGGATGTAAGCAGAATAATGGCCCCTGAAGATGTTTGTGTCTAATCCCCAGAACCTGTGACTATGTTACTCTACATGGTCAAGGGGACTGTATAGGTATATCTAAGAGTGCAGAACTTGAGATGGGAATACTATGCTGGATTACCAAGTAGGTTTAATCTAATAGACTTTCCCAGCTGAACCAGAGATGAAATAGAAGAAGAAGAGCAATTTGACCCACTATTGCTGGCTTAGAAGATCGGTAAAGGGGCTGTGAGAAGGAGGTAGAAGGAAAGAAGGAATGTAGATGCCCTCTAGAAACAGGGACAGGCTCTCAGCTGGCAGTCACTGAAGATAAGCATTCTCTGTCTCACAACTTCAAAGAAGACAATTCTGCCAACAATTTGAATGAGCAAGGATATGACTCTCCCATCAAAGCTCCAAAAAGAGCATGGTCCTTCTAACACCTTCATTTTAGCCCAAAGAAGGGAGACTCATAGAAGATTTCTGGCCTAGAAAACTGTAAGATAATGAATTTGTGTTCTTTGAGTTACAACTTTGTGATACTTTGTCACAGCAGGAAGCTAATACATGGGGCTTGGTGGCTGATTGGATATAGAGGTCAGGAGGACAGGGTGGACTCCTCTGTTTCTAATTTGGTCAGCCAGTGGGCAATAATATATTCAAAACATCATGGATAAGTAGACTCTGGAGGGTAGAAACCAGACTTATGTTTTGGTCATATGAAGTTTGAAATGCCAGTTAGATATTTAAGTGGTAGGACCAAACAGGAAATGATTAATGCAAATTTGGGGCTCATAAGAGACGTCTGAGTTAAGAATGAACTTTTGGATTAGAAAGAACACAGATTGTATGGCGCTAACTGAGCAGACATAAGAAAGGAGTGTAGATGGGGAGGCAAGACCAAAGTTCAATTCCAAGACAATGCACCATTCAGAGGTTGCACAGAGAAGAAGGAGGAAGACACAAAGCTGACAAAGAAGGAGCTGCTGAGTCTTAG